TTATCAGACTAGAAAAGAAAAAGCAAATGATTGTGGCAGCAGGTACATGGGATATAATCATCTATGCAGAAAATCCTATGAAAGTTTAAAAACTAATAATGCCTTTAGCAAGATTTTTGTATATAAGACCATGCAGTTTTACAAAATTGAAATAAATTTAAATTTTTAAAATTTTCAATTTAAATAATTAATATTTATTTAATTAATTAAATAATCATATTATACATATGATTCACATGTATAATAATATCAAATATAAAACAGGGATAAATAAGACAAAAATGCACAAAATCCAGACACTGAAAACTATAAAATATTGTGAGAGAAATAGAAAAAAAAAAAACACTAATGGAAAAATACACATAGTTCATGGATCAGCAGATTCAATATTGACAACTCTTATCTAAATTAATCTATAGATTAAATGTAATCTCTATCAAAATTAGAGCAAATGATAATTTAAAAATTGATGACTGATTCTAAATTACATACGAATGTAAAAGAACTAGAATGGGAAAGCAACTGAAAAAGAAAAAATTTGAAAAACTTATACTACCGGACTTCAAAACTTACATTATGAAGCCACAGTATATCAACACAGGGTATTGATGCCAAGACAGAAAAGTAGAGGAATGGAACAGAATGAGTTGGAAAATAGATAAGAGCCAATTCAGTAGACAAAAAATAGCCTTTTAACAAATGAATGGTGCTGGAATAATTGGATCCTTACACACATAGATGATCTACACCTTGTGTTATTTTTAACAAAATTTCTCAAAGTAGATCATAGACTTAATACAAAACCCAAAATTATACAATTCCTAAAAACAAACAAACAAACAAAAAAAACTAAGATATATTCTTTGTGATCTTGAATCAGGAAACAAGACACCAAAAGTCTAACCCATAAAATAAAAAATTACCACATTGAACATTACCAAATTTAAAAACTTTTTGAAAGACAACATTAAGGGCATGAAAAGGCAAGCCACACACCAGAAGATATTTGGAAATGACATGCCCAATATAGGACCTGAATCATGAATGTATAAGGAACTTTATTGGGTACACTGTTCGGTTGATAGTTACACTAAAACCCTTGACTTATGCATTATAAATGGAATTCATGTTTAAAAAAAAACAAAACATGTACTCCTTTATTATTTTAAAAATTAATAAAATGTCAATTACAAGAAATGAACAAAAAAAAGGGGAAGTAAAGGTTTGGAGAGACATTTTATCAAAATTATGCTGATGGCAAAAGCATAGGAAAAGATGGTCAATATCTCAAAGTATTAAGGAAATGCAAATACCAAAGCCACAATGAAATACTCAAATACACATCTATTAGAAGGGCTAAAATTAAAGAGAAGCCAAGTCCTACCTAGGATGTACAGCAACTGAGGTCTATACACTGATGGGACAGAGGTACAATGAAACAATCACTTTAAAAAGCAGAGGGGCATTTAAAAAAATAAATTAACTATATATACAGCCAGCTATTCCACTAGTAGTTATCCTCAAATGATGGCATGTTTATTAAAATATTTCTGTTACAAGAAATGTTTGTAACAGCTATATCATAAATTTGTAATAGCCAAAAACTGGAAATAACTCACATATACAAAACAGGATAAAATATACAAAAATGGATAAATTATTGTATATCTATACAACGGAATACTATTTGGCAATAAAAAAGGAATTAACTCTTGATACATGCAACTCTCTCTGTTGAAAGAAAGGAACTGAGCAATACTGTATGATTCTATTGCATAAAGCTCTAGAAAATGCAAATTATAGTGGTAAAAAGCAAAACAGTATTTTCTAGAGGATGAGGTGAGGTGAGGCAGAAAAGAGGGATTACAAAGGAGCAGAGGAGAACTTTTGAGAGTCATGGGTTATTTTTATTGCCTTGATGGTGATGATGATTTCACAAATCAAAACTTACCAAGTGGTATACTTTAAATAAGTAAAATTTATTGTATGTCAAATATATCACAATAAAGACTTTAAGGAAGTTCCCTTCTCTCCGTAATCTTTTAAGTTAGCATCCAATTTAAATGTCAGCTCTAGCAAGCATTAACTTGTTAGGCTTTGTTAAGATAACTATACCACTTGCTTAGAATTCTGGTGACCATGATACTCTTCTCTTTTTACAACCTTTAGGCCCCAAGATGAAATAAACAGCTCCAAGAAAAAGCTGAGATTCCAAGCCCTCTATTTTGATAATGAAGAATTACTTACTTCTTTTAGTGTTTCGTATTGTAACAAATCACAATGTTGCCACCAAAATCTGTATGTTCTGTCCCTCAAAATTTGACTGTTCATGATTTCACATGGTTATATATTTAAAAAATTGTCCTTGCAGTTAGGTATAGCCATATGGGTATTTTCAGCAACAATAAAAATAAATTGAGCAGAAATTACAAATCTCGTCTATGAACTAAGGATTTAAAAAACAAGTTTCCTCTCCAAGGTTTTCTTTAATTGATAATAATATCCTAGGGTGTGGAAGAGCCACGAGATGGAATGAAGTCTAGTTTATGAATCCCACACGGAATAATGCCACTCACCTGCTAGCTACACTTTCTAGAGACTTTTTGACATGAATAAGAAATAAATTTTCTTAGTATCTGATCCACTCAATATTTTTGGATTTCTTTTTTATAGCAGTTTGGCCTACTCTCTCACTCTAAAAATGTCAAGCCCAGAAGGTCTCTGGCCAACCCCCACTTTAAGAAAAGGTCAGAGGCTGGGCACAATGGCTCACGCCTGTAATCCTAACACTCTGGGAAGCTGAGGTGGGTAGATTGCCCTGAGCTCATGGGTTCAAGACTAGCCTGAGCAAGAGCAGGACCCTGTCTCTAAAAATAGCCAGGCACCCGTAGTCCCAGCTACTAGAGAGGCTGAGGTAAGAGAATCGCTTGAGCCCGAGAGTTTGAGGTTGCTATGAGCTATGACACCACAGCACTCTACCAAGGGTGACAAACTGAAGCTCCGTCTCAAAAAAAAAAAAAAAAAAGAAAGAAAGAAAAAGTCAGGGTTGCAAATTAATTCTCATTATTTTCCCCAAGTCTCAACTTGGGCTACTTTCCCCAGGTCTCACCTACAGAATTCCAGCAAGTAGTTTGGCTTTCATTCATTTCTAGGCCCATTTACTAGACACCTTTTTAGATTCTCCAAGTGAACTTATTTGAGGTTTGCTCTACAGATATAGCAGAGCTGAGCTAACCATTTTGCCTAGAACTTACCCCATGAGGAAATAAGAGGGTCGGGGACAATGACTCAAGCAGCTCTCTCTTCTCCCTGAACTTCTGTGAGCCCCACGGGCCCATCTGCCTGCTCCATCCTCTTTCATATCTCTTTCAATCAAAATTCAGGTCAGAGAGAGGAGAATGCATCTGGCCTTTGAGCTTCCAAAACCACTATCTCCCAAATGAAATGCTGCCTTAGAACAAACCAGTACTAGGTTTTTACCATAAACCACATGTCCTCATCTCACCACAGGCACCATAGCTGTCCCCTGAGAATTGCTATTTCCTCAAACAGTAAAGGAGATTCAAGTACTCAACAGACTGAAAATTAAAGGCAGTGGCCAGAGTAGGCAGAATCATAGTCTCTGGCCATGATCCCTTCCTATGATATTCTACTTCCAGATATGGTGAGATCTTCTACCACTACCTTCAATGAAAATGTCTCTGGGTGGCTGGCGGTGGGGAAGGGGAGTAGGTTTTTGTAGAGATGAACATACATGCCTTGAAGCCCCCTCTGTACCTCGGGTCCCCAGGCTTTCATACTAAGGCTCCCTTAGAAACAAAAATTTCATTACAGGCTATAGGTTCAGAACCCTTCAATAGAAATAAAATGTAGGCTACATATGTAACCTCAACTTTTTTAGTATTCATATGAAAAAAGTACAATGAAACAGTGGAAGTTATATACTTAATTTAAACCAATAGACTGATTCAAAATATTGTCACTGCAACATAGATGTAAAAGTTATGAGTGAGATATTTTGAAGTATTTTTTGCACTAAGTCTCCAAAATCCAGTATATTATTTTATACTTTCAGCACGTTCCAATTCTACCCTCATCCTCGATGTTTCCACTCTCACATCCACCCCATTATTTCTTTTACAGTTGGCATATAGCATTTCCAAAGTCACAGCAGCTCATTCACCAGCTATTTATGCTTGAGCCTAAAGAAAAGGGGATGTGAAAAAGCTGAATGAAACCATCCACTTCTGTAATTGCTTTACATTAATCATCTTTTCTCTTTGCATTTTCTTCCCATTCTGAGAACAACATGCTTTTGAACGGATCATTTTCTCCCCTCCTTTTATAATTTCAATTCATTTGAAAGACACTTTCTTTTTTAATTCTGATTGCTACTCTTAAATTTATAGATGAAAATTAAAGATTATAGTGAAGACTAAAATTATAATTTCAATTTAAAGCTCCTCAAATTATCATTGTAATTTGGTTTTAGGGATCACTTCTATGTATACTTACACAAAAACACAGCAATTCCTTTGCTCAGTATTGCATTTTATAAAAGCTGACAAAGATATTACCCAAATGTAAAATGATAGGCTGATTTCTTTCATAAACATACATGAAAACAAAACCTAAACAATGTGTTAGCAAAAAAAAAAAATCCAGCATTGCATATGACAAACAATGGTTTATTTCAGAAATTTGTGATAGATTTAACAACTGAAATAAAACAATCTACTTGATTTATTACAATAAAATGACACATGACTATCTCTTAGTTAGAGGAGATAAAAAAATCCGTTGAATTCAATTTTTCATTCCATACAAAAACTCATGGCAGTTTAGTAGACAATTTTCTTTAACCCCCTACATCAACCAAAAACCCTCCAACCAACATCATGCTTGATGGCAAAATGTTTCAAGCTCCCATTACCCACCTCAAGATCTGCAATTAGTCAAGGACCTTTACTGTTACCACTGCGCACATCCTAGTAAATGTTCAAAAGTGAGAATATAGAAAAACAGGGGATTAGGAGAACCATGTGCAGAGAAGCCGCAGGGTGAAGGGTACCGCTCAGGTGTGGTGGACAGCAGACAGTAGAACGTTCAAGAGCTTGGGCGACGAAGAGTCATGGGAACTACACAGTTGCAAGGATTAAAATACGGGCACAGGGTAGTGGGGAAGTAATATTTGGAGAAAGTGTAAATGGGGAAGCCGTGGTTCGTGACATTATAAAAGGAGACGGTGCCAGCCTCATAGTCTAAGAAAACCCCAACTCGACGAGGGCGCACTGTCATGGAGAGAAGCAGGGCTGCGGTGGAGTCCTCATAGGCCTTGTACGCATGTTTATGCTGAAGCCCAATCACCCAGTACCCACTCTGAGGCTGGTATCTCGAGTAAGCATTGGGATTTTTAGCATACTGGTTGAAAGAGGAGGTAGGTACCACGGAATTACTGCACACCCCCAGGATCCAGGCGGTCTTCTTGGCCACATCCACTTCCCAGTAATGCTTTCCTGAGGAGAAGTGCTGGACGCCCAGGACACTGCAGTCATAATGTTCTTCCAGATAAGAAGGCTCAGACAGCTCAGCACCCACAAATCTCACCTGTCTCCGGTTTTTAGACAGGACAAGATTTAAATTAGCTGTGTGCGGGTTCAGAGTCACGTCCACTGCAGGAAGAGGTACAACATTGGCAGGTGAGAAGAGGTATGTGGAATGCTGTGATGGGGGAGAGGGGAGGCTTCGCTGCCTCAGACCTGCGAACATGTGGGTACATCTGGGCAGGAGCATGGGAAAGGGGATCACATGTGTCAGCTCAAGGAGGCTGAAGTTTCTACTTACCCCAGTAGCTCTGCACATCCGTCAGCTCTGCAATGATAAAGGGAATCAACAATGTTGAATGGGACCAAAGGTCTCAGTGATCTCCCTCACCTTACCAGACTGAGGGGAACTGCAGGCAATTCTGTGAGGATGTGAACTGGTTGTGTCATCTTCCCCTACACGTAAACTGCATCTTCTCACACTATGTCCCTTTCTCTGGGACTTCCCCTTCGTCCAATATTCCCAAATATGGACTAAATCCTCTAGTCTATTTATTTCTTCCCAAGACAACAATTCCATAACCAAACTCTTCCTCCTGAACCCCCTTACCTCTAAACACTCGCAGCATCTTCTTCAGATCTGGGGTTCGAAACATGCTTCTCAGCTTGGTGGGAAGAGCTTCTGGCTTCCTCAGGGTCCAGAACTCACTCCTGAAGAGGACAGATCTCATGAGTCCCCACATTGCTGACTGTGGGTTCCTCCAACACGTCTGTCTCCCTCATCTCCCAGGCCCATTAGTGAACCTCAACACTCTCCCCTGAAGGAAACTGGCATCATTCTGCAAAGAGGTCTGGCCCTGGCACCAGAAGACCTGCACTAGAAAGTAGCTTCTCACCATGTATAGAACCTTTGGTAAGATTTAATCTCCTAAAGCCTCATTTTGTTTGTTTTTCTGGTACGATTTTAGAACAATACAAAATACAATACAATAATTTTTCTTTACATCCTAGAGATAGTATGAAATTTGGTAAAATAATGACTATAAAATCCTTTGCTATCTCAAAAAAAGATACAACCTACTTTAAAATGTCAGTAGGCATCAAAAGGGCTGAAGGTATCTGGGTTGCCAGGCAGTACATCAGGAACCTGCCTGTGGGCCTTGGAAAGTGTCAGGGAAAGAGCTTCCTTCAGAAGGGTCTGTGAGCCTAGGCCCCAAGGTTTCTCAGAAGCCCAAGGGACCTTTGTCCCTACAAAATAGCATCTTGGGATGCCTGTCTTCAGGAATGTTCCACCAGCTGGAACCTCACCTCCAAATGGAGAGTGAAGACTTCAGAAGGGATAACAGGATATTTCTTGTGTTTATCGGAAGCATGAGGTACCAGCTGTGTGGGCAGCTTTAGACGTTACCTATTGCATGAGATACTGTCCAGACTATGTGACAGAAAAAAGAACATGTTTTCCTCCAGGGCCAAAACCACTATTCTCAAGATTTCAAGGTTTTTACTGGAAATGAAACCAAAGAAAATCTGACAAGTAGGTAGCAAGTCCTGGACTATTCCAAAGCCAAAAACTGAAAATGAAACTTACAGCAGGTGTCTCAAGAGCAAATTCCGGGACACAGGGAAACAATGCTAATGGGAATTCCCCTCTGATGAAATGCATGTGCAAAGAAAATCTCCATGTATTCTGAGGTAGCTATAAACTATGAGAATCAGGGCTGAAAGCGGTACGGAGGCTTGTGGAAAAGGAGTCCCATAACAGGATGCTAGGACTCACTGACACTGCAGCACTTTATTCTTAATGACAATACTGTCCTCAATTTGTAACCCCTCCATCACCAGTTCTCCTGCCACAGAAGCCAGCTTATTCCCTTTACTTTAGAGCCCCAAATTCTCATGTGATGAGCATCTTACGACACCACAGTCTTGAATCTTCCTTGTTCTGTGATTTGTTTCCCTTTACCTCTCACCATAGGATAATTCTCTGAGTACAGGAATTGTTTGTAAATCCAAGGGAATCACCTCACAGTGTCCTACACATACCTTTCTGTGACATCACTCACATCCTAGGAAAGAAAAAGACAGGTTAGGTCAAAGAGGAATATGTCATGTCTTCATCCATATTCCTTACTCTCTCTGCCACCCCACAATATGACAGAACTAAAGGACTAAAGATAGTACCAATGTGGAGGCCATAAAGTAGAGATAAAAACTCTGGGCACACAGTCCCTGAGAACCCAGGGAAGACATCAGAAAACAGCTCAATTGGCTCGGCGTCTGTAGCTCAGTGGCCAGGGTGCCAGCCACATACACCAGAGCTGGAGGGTTTGAACCCAGCCTGGGCCTGCCAAACAACAAAAACAACTACAACCAAAAAATAGCCTGGCATTGTGGCAGGGGCCTGCAGTCCCAGCTACTTGGGAGGCTGAGGCAAGAGAATATCTTAAGCCCAAGAGTTGGAGGTTGCTGTGAGCTGTGACGGTACAGCACTCTAGTCAGGGTGACATACTGAGACTCTATCTCCAAAAAAAAAAAAAAGAAAGAAAAAGAAAAAAAAGAAATCAACTGAATTGATTCATTAGTAGCTTTATTACTCCAACTCTGTGTGTGTGTGTGTGTGTGTGTTATGCATGGATAGCATCTATCATTTGCCAGGCATTGTACTTGTTCCTACAGAATTTCAGGTGACAAAGTCATAATTTCCATGCTTGAGTAGCTGCATTCTATCCTGATTGCCTAAGGGTCACAGGCCTTAAATATTGCAGGTCCTCAGATCTCACCTCCTCTAACCTCCTGCTCTACCTCTGCTGACTTCATCTAGTCCATTGCTATTGGGAGCTAATTCCCAGATTTACACTTCTGCTGTGATCTCTCTCTCTCTCAGGATCCAGATTAATGTATACCCCAGGAAAAGAGCCAAATGCACCTCAAATTCAAGATGTTCAAAAGAAAACTTATTCCTGCAACTATTTCATCTCTTTTCTTCCACCCTGCTGACTGATACTAACAAACACTTAGTCACTGAACACTGCCACAAAAACCATCATATATTCATCCTGGCACTCCATCCTTGGCCAGGCCAGTGCATTCCACACACGTAACTTCTTTTAGCCACCTGCTGTTCACCTTCGTCAATGCCCCTAATGGTCTTCTTTCAGCAGAACTACCCGATCACCTATTTGGTCTCTTACTTCTGCTCTGTACACTTCAATGACCCTGAAGAAAAGGCCAAAGGCTTGATCTACACAACAGAGAAATAAATTATTTTCTCTGTATTGGGCTTATTTATGGTTTCATTTCACACCAGCACAAATTAAACTAGCTTGAATAAAGAAAGTAGCAGAGGTGTTGTTGGTGGTCCAGGATTATATCAATCTCAAATCACAGCTGAAGAGCTTAAAAGGATCGAATCAGTGTGCCACTTTACGGCTTTTCCTCTTAGGCTGACTTTATTCTCAGTGATCACATTTTGAAGCTTGTATCTTGGCTATCAAATCTTAGTGAGTACCAATGTTGCACAGATATGGAAAAGAAAAGACACAGTATGTCTGTGATGGGAGAATTCTGGAAAACTGACAGTTATGGAACACTCAAGTTAAAATGTCCACTGCATGGTCATATTAATGGGGCACAGAGTCTGGACTAGCAATGTAAACTGATGACTCATCTTCATTTAAGAAAAAAGTTTTAGCCGGGACGGTGGCTCATGCCTATAATCCTAGCACTGTGGGAGGCTGAGGCAAGAGGATTGTTTGAACTCAGGAGATTGAGACTTATCTGAATGAGAGTGAGACCCTGACTTCACAAAAAATGAAAAATAAAAAAATAAAAAACCCCAGCTACGTGCTAGCTGTGATGAGCACCTGTAATCCCAGTGACTTGGGAGGGTGAGGCAACGGATGCTCACAGCCAAAGTCTGAGGTTGCAGTGAGCTATGATGACATCATTGCCCTCTGCTCAGGGCATAGGCTGAGACTTTGTCTCAACATAAAAAAAAAGTTTCAGAGTTCAAGGAGTCTATTGAAGAGCTAGAACAAAGGGTAAAGGAAAAAGTATTGGGGTAACCTAATACCAAAGATAAGACCACAAAGACAAGACAAATATTATGAAGATACGAAGCAGAAAGCAGTGAATGAAGAAAGCTCTGTAAGGTAGAAAGTAACTACCCCAAGACTCCAGGACTGCACCCAAGAATAAACAATGACATAATAATACTGCAGCAAAGAAAGAACAAGAGGAAAGCCAGGAAGCAAGTGAAAAATAAGGAACAGTCTGAGTTTTCAGAATATCCCAAGGTCATATTATTTATTCTATGTAGAAAACAGATGCTGAAATGTCAACCTCAGGTCAAGTTCCTCCATCAGATCTCTCCAGACTGGATACCCTGCACCTGTCCAACCTACATACACATAGACCAGCGCCCAATCCTCAGGTGATTCTGCCCAAGACAGTGGAAGTAAAGAAAGGATGGTAATTACATAAAAAAGGTCAAAGAACTTGGGCTTGATGTGTTTGCCTGTGACTAAGCTGCAGAAAAAGCACCTGACAAATCTCAGCACAGTATCAAAGACAAGTGCCTAATGTATAGTGGTTCTCACCAAGGGGAGATACATTGTCCTCCCTGGAGGTATGTGGAGTTCTTGGCTGTCACACCTAGGATGGTACTACTGACATCTAGTGGGTAAAGTTTAAGGACGCTGCTAAATATCCTCTCACAACAAAAAAATTATCCAGCCTGAAAGGTCAATAATAGTGCCGAGACTGAAACATACTTCTATAGAATGTCACTGAATAAAACAGATCTTCCCCACAGCATCACATAAATTCTTTATAAAGGACCACCCTTTATAAATAAAAATAAGTCTTTCCCTTAGCATTTATATTCTGAATTACCTTATGTTTTACCTCTTACCTCTGAAGTTTAATAGGGAAGAAGCACTATAGGGACAAAGGGATTTTTTTGTATGTCCCCAAGGAGGATGTTAGTCTCATGTTTGAGAAAGGAAGGAAAGACAGTCCCTCTCCTCCTTGACTCTCAGACCCAGCTCCTTCATGAACTTTACCTGCAGCAGCTCCATTGCTGACCCCTGGCATCGACACTCCAGGTCTGAGATGAGCTCTCTCAGAGACTGGCTCTGGTTGATCAGCTCATTTTCAGCCTCTTCTATAATTCTCAGCCCCTTCCTCCCTTCCTCCTCCAGCTTTTTCAGTTCCCGCTGCTCCACTTTGTCCAGGATGCTTCGCAGGTGATTGAACTCTGTCTGGATCCTGTGTTTCTCAGGCTCCATCTGATTCTTCAAGAACAGGGAAGAGAAAGAGGCGGCTAATCTGCAGGGGCAGCGGTCTCCTGTGTAGGGGCTGGGGAGCCAGGCTTCACTAGGAGGGGAACGGTAAAGGCCTGCATAACCTGCACTTTCTTTCTATTCTCCCTTCAGCTCTCTGAAGACTATTAGCCCCAGGCTGCCTTACCTAGGCCTTCTAGATACAGGCTCTGATTCCTGGGTGATGTTTAGATTCCAGGCAGCCTCCCTGGCCTCTCCTGATTCTGCATTAATTTCCCCTTCCAATTTTGAGTGTCGATGTAGGGATTGTTAGCCTAAGACTAACCTATCTTTCCCAGCAGGCCAATGAAACTAAACTGTGGAACAAGATCCAGAACTATGACTTTGGGGTTACCCTCAGCCCTGGTTCCTCTCCTACATGATCATCTCCAAAAATCTTAGTTCACTTTTGGTATGTTTGTATGGTCTAGAGACTTCTCTCCCTCCCTTGTTTGGAAAGGCTACATCTAGGGAATAGGCAAGGAAAGGTCTTCTAGACATGATGTCAGCATCAGGCAGGACAATGACTCCTTTGCCCCAGGCCCCCATGACCTGTCCCAATTCCCAACCCAGGACACCCTCAGGAGGAGTCCCTCTTGCCTTCCAGGATGCCCTCTTCCGTCTGATGAAAGCTTTTAGCTTCTCAGCTTCTTCCTGCTCTTTCCTCAGCCTCTGCAGAGACTCCTGGAACTTCTCCTTGAAGAAACACATCAGGTCAAGCAGGGGCAGGTTGTCAATTGTCTCACTGCCCAAGCAGGGAATAAATGAGGCAGAGATTATGCTGACCTCCAAAGAAGCCCATCCTATCTGAGGATGGAAAACTAAGGAGGCCAATGTATCCTTTATAACAAAGGGGATAGAAACCAATGGGAATAGGCTCACTCTCTGTCCCTCTTGGGGTGAGCGCCTGCACACAAAGCACTTCAGCTCCTTTACCCACCTTGCCAACATAATCACCCACACTCAATCCACCAAGACCCCTTGGTGCACCCACCCTCTCACTCTACATGATGTTGTGCAGAAGGTAAGACAAAAAGTCTCTGATCTTGATTGAGGACAATTTCTAAGTTCAAGCTCTAGGTAAACGGGAAGACTACAAGAGAGCATGACAAAATGTAAAATCTCCTGCCAAGGACCCATTCTTCCCTGTGTGCCTCCATCCTGGACTCTCACCTGGTACTCCTGGGCAACCTCCTCCATGAGAAACGTGTGGTGACCACGGTGCTCCTGAGAACGCTCACAAAGCCAGCAAATGACCTTTCCATCCTCCTTACAGAAGAGCTGCAGTTTCTCTCCATGGTTTGCACAAAGAATTGCCTTTGGTAGCTTCCCCGGAACCAATACTACCTCTCTGAGCCTCTCCGCTATGTTGGCCAGGTGCCGATTAGGCCGGAGACTGCCAAGTTGGTAGCTGACCTGGCACACTGGACAGCTGCTTTCCCCTTCCTGGCCGTTCTCTGATTCCCCACTGTTCTGTGTGATGCAGGCTTTACAGAAGCTGTGGCCACAGTCTACACTCAAAGGCTCTGTCAGGAGCTCCAGGCAGATGGGGCAGGTCACTTCCTCTTGTATGTCCATCAGCACAGAAGTCATTGTAGCTGCTCTCCTGGAGCCTGCCTGCCCAGCCCTGATTTCCAAGATGCTTCCTGCTTGTAGAATCCTAGATCAATGAGCAAACAAAAAAGAGTAAGAAAGGGGGCAATGGGACAAAGAGATGCTGACTGTCTTGTTCTGTAGAAAGAGGCCAGACTCCTGGGGGTAATAAGGCTTTGGCATTCTAACTTCCAATTTACCCTGGCTCATATGAGATACCATTTTCCATCCTTATTAGAGGAGAGATTACGATTTCCTTTTATACCTATTGGATGGAGGGATAAACTTAGGCCCTGGAGTGGAAGGGTCCTGTATGAGCCACCACTTGATCTTATCTCAGCCCATCAAAATACAACCTCATTGTTAAAAACACCAAGACTCATTGCTGCCTAGGATTCTTGCACTAGGGCTGCAAGGGTGACCTTGATACCGGCATGACTCAACTCAATACTTACCTGTTCTCTTATCCAAAGGATTTGTTCTATCTAGACTATCTAAAGCACCCTCTCTATACACTTACCTGCTTTAATTCTTATCACAACCTGATATAGATCTGTAATTGTCTGAATCGTCCCAGTGGAATGCAAGCTCCATGAGATCAGAAACTTGTGTTTTTCTTCATGGTTATATCCCTGGCAGTCAGCACAGTGTCAGACACACAGGTTCTCTACTCTCCATCAGCTCGTGAGCTCTTTCACCTCTTTGCTACATCACCTTGCCATCATTCTCCAGTATCTGATCTCCAAGATCAAAGGTCTCATTGATTGTGTAGACACTTTCACCTCCAAACAGCCCTACTCCACACAAAGCCTGTCCATCTCCACACTCCACTTTTCAGAAAAACCCAAAGAAAAAGCAATATCCACAGTAATAACCACAATAAGGGGAGCTAATATTTTTACAACCAGTGCTTCTGTAACCAGCTGTAATCTAGTAATCACATTCTCCTGCTTTCTTTATCCCTCATAGGACAACTCTGCATAAATAAGTATTCTTGGCCCTTTAACAAGAATATTAGAGGCATTAAGTTACTTTTAAAATCATGTGTTTTGTAGTTCTGGGCCGGGGCTGGGCTTGAACCTACCACCTGTGTTTTGTAAGTTGTAGAGTTGGAGCAACCTAATCTTTCCAGGATCCTAATTCAAAGCTCTGTCCACAACCTCATAACTGTAACCAAAGACAAAGCCGTAAAAGGCATAGGCCTAAAGATTTTTAAAATGGGCATAATCCCATTTCATGATGGGATTTCACTGGGGCCTGTCATGAAATTTGCAGTACGATAAGATCCTAAGGTAGTACTTTTGAGGCCTTATATCCTCATTGAGAAATACTATCTTTATTCTCAATCCATTTTTCTTGGTAGTTTTCAGTTGCGAAATTACATTACTATTGTTTGGAATAACATCAAGAATACTCTTTAGACATTTAACGATTTTTTTTTCCTGTTCTCAACATTGAGTCATTTTCATTGGAAGCCGTTTGCTCTGCCTGCCTAGCTAGAATCACATTTGGGCCTCCCAAGAAGAGTCAGCGTGCATTGTCTGTTTGAAGGTACATTGGCCCTGGTCCAGGAATGACCGTGTTGTACTGGACAGGCCATAGCATGTCCAGGAGCAAGTAAAAGTCTATAATTTGTCTTTGGCTGGTTTTTCAGCAAAAACAAATGTATGCTGATGTAAAACATGGTCAGTGTGGGCAATTTTCCATATCTTGAGGGCCTGATAGGTTAAAAAAAATAAAAGTTCTGCCAGTAACAATAATCCCATCAGAAGAAAGGGCCTCAGAAAATGTCCTAGATAAGTAAAAAAGGTTTACAGGATATTAACATGGCCAAACAGGGACTGGGAGCCACTGCTGAGTGGTGGTGGTGGTGGTGGGGGAGGTGTTGAGGGACAGGCTGGGTTCAGAGCTGCCATCTAGTGTTTCATGGTGCTCCTGCAAGTCACAGCCTGGGTCATCACCTTTGCCCTGCTTGATAGCAATACTAACTGAAAGTCCATCAGGTACTGGGCAAGAATTTAATTATCTTATATGTAATAACTCATTAATTCCTTGTAACAACACTACACATGTCCCTTAGATTTCATTCCATAGCTGTACACACTGAGGTTAAGTAGCTCCGTCAAGTGGTAGAGCCAGTTTTTAAGGCAGAAACTCCCCCTCTTACTTCTCTTTTATGTCCCTCATCTCCATAAAGGGTGTGAGACATAACTGTTTACAAATTAATGAATTCTGGGCATCTAATTTGCATTAGTAATTGGTATTACAGAAGTATTTATCTATAGGGGATACAGTTTAACCTAATTAACCACACCTGTAGAACTGGGCATTCGGTCATCATCACCTCACTTGCCCACTGCACTGTGAAGGTCTACTGCTGTTGTTAAATTAGCCTTATGGAGTTCATGGCTGGGAAGAATTAACATTGTTAAAATGTCCATACTACTCAAAGCAATACATAATTTTAATGCAATCCCTATTAAAATTCCATTGTCATACTTTAAAGATCTCGAAAAAATAATACGTCATTTTATATGGAATCAGAAAAAACCTTGAATAGCCAAGACATTACTCAGAAATAAAAACAAAGCAGGAGGAATCATGCTACCAGACATCACTCTATACTATAAATCCATAGTGATCAAAACAGCATGGTATTGGCACAAAAACAGAGAGGTAGATGTATGGAACAGAATAGAGAACCAAGAGATGAACCCAGCTACTTACCGTTATATGATCTTTGACAAGCCAATTAAAAACACTGGGTGGGGAAAAGATTCCCTATTTAACAAATGGTGCTGAGTGAACTGGCTGGCAACCTGCAGAAGACTGAAACTGGATCCACACCTTTCACCACTAATTAAGACAGACTCTCACTAGATTAAAGATTTAAACTTAAGACATGAAACTATAAAAATACTAGAAGAAAGTGTAGGGAAAACTCTTGAAGAAATTGGCCTGGGCGAATATTTTATGAGGACCCCCTGGGCAATTGAAGCAACATCAAAAATATACTACTGGGACCTCATCAAATTAAAAAGCTTCTGCACAGCCAAGAACACAGTAAGTAAAGCAAGTAGACAGCCCTCAGAATGGGAGACGATATTTGATGGTTATGTCTCTGACAAAGGTTTAATAACCAGAATCCACAGAGAACTCAAATGTATTAGCAAGAAGAGAGCAAGTGATCCCATCTCAGGGTGGGCAAGGGACTTGAAGAGAAATTTCTCTGAAGAAGACAGGTGCATGGCCTACAGATATATGAAAAAATGCTCATCATCCTTAATAATCAGAGAAATGCAAATCAAAACTACTTTGAGATATCATCTAACTCCAATAAGATTAGCCCATATCACAAAATCCAAAAATCACAGATGGTGGTGTGGTTGTGGAGAAAAGGGAACACTTCTACACTGCTGGTAGGATTGCAAACTAATACGTCCCTTTTGGAAAGACATCTGGAGAACACTTAGAGAACTAAAAATAGACCTCCCATTTGATCCTATAATTCCTCTACTAGGTATATATCCAGAAGACCAAAAATCACACTACAATAAAGATATTTGTATCCGAATGTTCACTGCAGCCCAATTCATAATTGCTAGGTCATGGAAGAAGCCCAAGTGCTCATTGACCCATGAATGGATCAATAAATTGTGGTATATGTATACCAAGGAATACTATGCAGCCATGAAGAAAGACGGAGACTTTACCTCCTTCATGTTTACATGGATGGAGCTGGAAAATATTCTTCTTAGCAAAGTATCTCAAGAATGGAAGAAAAAGTATCCAATGTACTCAACCCTATTATGAAACTAATTTATAGCTTTCATAGGGAAGCTATAACCCAATTTTAGCCCAAGAATACGGGGAGAGAGGGAGGGGTGGGGATGGGGGAGGAGTAGAGGGAGGGTGATTGGTGGGATCACACCTATGGTTTATCCTATAAGGGTACATGTGAATCTTTCTAAATGTAGAATATAAATGTCTTAACATAATAACTAAAAAAATGACATGAAGGCTATGTTAACCAGCTGGATGAAAGTATTTCAAATTGTATATGGAAATAACACACTGTACCCCATGAGAGTATTAATGTACACAGCTATGATTTAAAAAAAAAAAAAAGAAAGAAGGGAAGCAAGAAGGTAAGATAGCAAGCAGTCTCCCCAAATAAAACAGCATGCATAAAAAAAAAAAAATTAGCCTTATGGAGGGAGAGGACCAATCTTTTTGCTCTTCCAGGTACACCAGACCTTAACTGCACTTAACACAATAAATAAGCAATTAAATTTATAATGAATTTAAAATTATGTTATTGCTGAACTTGGACTTGATGTAGGCCCTGCAGCAAAGAAATAAATGTGCTACTTTTTGAAATCGTTAACAATTGTGATGATATTATATGTACTTAAATATTTTAACTGAAAATCCATTCCATCCTCTCCAACACACATGCACATTTTTATTTCAGGCAAAACTGCACACGGTATACACAATTCTCTTGAAGATTTTCTATCTTATGAACTTGAAAAGACTCCATGAATTCAACAACTGGTAAAGCGACAAATTGTGGTATAACCCCATAATTACATATAACCGAACAATTAAATGAAACTGCTGATATGCCCAACAGAATAAATCTCAAAAGCAATATGCAAAGTGAAAGAAGTTGGACACCAAAGTGAGTTCCTGTATGATTCCATTTATATGAAATCCTAGAAAAGGCAAAGCTATAGTATTTGAAAGCCTATCAGTGGAAGCCAGGACCCAGGGGTGAGAAAGGAATGAACTGCAAAGGGACAGAAAGAAATGTGGAGGGTGACACAAATGCCCTTTATATGTTATAACTGTGTTGGGAGTTATTCAACTGAATATACATCAAACTCACAGAATTGGCCAGGCATGGTGGCTCATGCCTGTAATCCCAACATTTTGGTAGGCTAAAGCAGGAGAATCATTTGAGGTACAGAGCGAGACCCTGTCTCTATAAAAAATTAAAAATCAGCTGGGCCTGGCATCATACAGCTGTTGTCACAACTACTTAGGAGACTGAGGCACAAGGATGACTTGAGGCCTGGAGTTTGAGGTTGTAGATGAGCTATGATTGTGATACTGCACTCTAACCTGGACAAGAGAGTTAGACTCAGTCTCCAATAAATAAATAAATAAATAAATAAATAAAATTTAAAACCTCAGAACCATATGCTTAAAATTTTTAACTTGGCTCGGTGCCTGTGGCTCAAGTGGCTAAAGCGCCAGCCACATACACCTGAGTTAGTGGGTTCTAATCCAGCCCGGCCTGCCAAACAACAATGATGGCTGCAACCAAAAAATAGCCAGGCGTGTGGTGGGCGCCTGTGGTCCCAACTACTTGGGAGGCGGAGGCAGGAGACTCACTTGAGCCCAGGAGTTGGAGGTTGCCGTGAGCTGTGATGCCAGGGCACTCTACCCAGGGGGACAGCTTGAGGCTCTGTCTCAAAAATAAAAAAAAAAATTTAATTCAAGATGTAAACTACTACTGAATATAAATGAAAAAAAGAAATAATGAGAAAAAGTAAAGATTTGGCTTCCCTCAGATTCTAAGCATAAACTATAACTGTGTTGTCAAATACGGTCATCACATGTGGTTACTAAGTACTTGAAGTGTGGCCAGTCAGAAATGAGATGTGTTAAATATAAAACACACATTGAATTTTGAAGATTTCGTGGATCAATAAACTAAAGAATCTCATCAGTAATTTTATATTTAAGGTAGTGTGGTTCAATAAGCATGTCTATTATCCTAGCAATCTAGGAGGCCAGAGTAGGTGGACTGCTTGAGCTCAGAAGTTCAAGACCAGCCTGAGCAACAGTGAGACCCCATCTCTACTAAAAAAAAAAAAAAAAAAAGCTACCCCAGTGTTGTGGGGGGTGGGGAGGGCTCTGTAGTCCCAGCTACTTGGAAGGCTGAGGAAAGAGGGTCACTTCAACCCAAGTGTTTGAGATTGCTATGAGCTATGACACCATGGCACTAGACCCAGGGTGACAGAGTAAAACTCTGTCTCAAAGTAAAATAACATAACATAAAATAAATAAAAAATTATATTGATTATGTATTCTAATAATATTTTCCATGTATTGGATTAAATAGAATACATTAAAATTAACTTCACCTATTTCTTCTTACATTTTAATGTGGCTACTAGAAAATCTAAAATTACGTACGTAGTCTCATTCTATTTCTATTTCATTATATCTTTTTTTCCCCCTGCCATATGGACTACTTTAGATATTCAAAACAGAGAAAGATTATTGAACAGAAAAGGTGACCTAACAGTTAACATTTCCTGTCAAAAGATTTAAAGTTGAGACTGGGGTAAAGAAGAAATTGAGAAAGAAGGAGCATGTCATATAGTTAGCAGAGGTCTGAATGACCCTTGGCCAACACACCATAGCAAGCCCCTAGCAAGCCCCTGACAGCCAACTGCAGCTGAATGCAACCCAGAGGACACAAGGGAGGGTGACAGTCTCCAAATGAAGTCACACCTCCAGACCAGTGCTGAGGTGCAGAGAGACAGCAGTCTGACTGTGTGAATAGTGACCCCAGAGAAGCCTAAGGTTCCAGAGTCCTGTGGATTAAATTAGCAGATGAAAAAATGCCAAATTCAAGACTGGGTGGGACCAGTTAAATCATAAGTAGATGCCTGAAAAAATTCATTATGGTCTGCTGACTAGCCACATTGGCATCCACTGGAGCTCTTAATCTCAGTCTTACTCAGACAGATTCACCATCTGCACAATAAGACCCCAGGTTATTCGTATGCATATTAAGGCTTCAGAAGCACTGCCTCCGAGTAAGGATCCCTTTTTCCAGGTGGATACAATTTAGGGTTCAAAACAACTAGAAACGGGGGAGGGAAGGCCAGAGAATGAACTGCTATTTAGATCTGCTGCATCTGTTAGAATGGAAGCTCACATTGATATCAAATTAAAACTAGTGACTGACCAAGGCTGATCCAGGCTGGAGGTTCAGAATAAGAACTAGGAATGAGAGAGGACACAGCCTGCCCCTCCCCCACCTCGCGGATAGTCCAAACTAAAGTGGAGTAAAACAGATGGCAACTGTGCTTCCAACCAAGTTGGGCCAACATTCTTGTGGTTTGGAAATAATACTATTTTTGACCTTTGAGTAGGGTTATATTCCACTTTATTATCTGTGATTGATTATCTAACAGCACTCTATAAATATTTGAGTTGGGTCCTAGCAGTTTGGAAGGCCCCAGCCAAGATTACTTGAGGCCACAAGTTTAGTTTGAGACCAGCCTCAGCAAGAACCAGACTCTATCTCTACAAAAAAAAAAAAAAAGAAAGAAAAAATTATCTCTGCCTGTTGGCACTTGCCTGCAGTGCCACCTATCATGGATGCTGAGGCAGAATGGTCACTCCAGCCTTGGAATTTGAGATTACAGTGTGCTATGACCACATTACTATACTCTAGCCTGAGCAACAGAGCAAGGCTCAGTCTCAAAGTAAACAAACAAACAAACAAAATCTGAATTAGAACATATCCAATTTCAAAAAAAAAAAATTTTTTTTTTGTTTTGAGACAGAGTCTCAAGCTGTGGCCCTGGGTAGAGTGCCATGACCTCATGGCTCACAGCAACCTTCAACTCTTGGATTCAAGCGTTTGAGCTTCAGTTTCTTCTATCTATAAAATGGCCAGAATATTTATATATATGTATTTATGTATGCATATACATATATATATAAATATGCCTCAGGTTTTTTTTTTCTACTTAGTAGAGATGGGGTCTCAGGTTTCTTTTTTTCTATTTTTAATAGCGATGGGGACTCATTCTTGCCCAGGCTGGTCTGGAACTGGTGAACTCAAGCAATCCACCTGCTTTGGCCTCCCAAGGTGCTAGAATTACAGGCATGAGCCACCTGGCCCTGCCCAGTTTCAAATTTTTTAAGCCCCACTTCAAAAGAATTTAAGAATTGTTGGATTGGGCATGTTTTTAAAGCTAGACATGGAGTTTATCAACAATAATGACCATAATTTCAGTATTTACTACTCGTCAAGCAGTCTCTTGTATGTTTAAACCTCTGCCTCACTTTATCTTCACCAAAATTCTGGAATTCAAAATTATATATATATATAAATAAGTAAATATTCTGGCCACTTTATACATAGAAGAAACTGAAGCTCAAACAGGTCAAGTAGCAGTCACAGGACACGCAACTAAAGTGTGGGTGTCAGATCCAGGATCTGAGCAGTCTGACTGCAGCACCTACGTCCTTAACTATACGTTTCTCTCTCTAGTGATTGATTAAATAAAAGGTTCAGGCGGCGCCCTATAGCTCAGTGGTAGGGAGCCAGCCCTACCGACGCTGGCGGGTTCGAACCCCGGCCTGGCCCTGCTAAACAACGACAACTGAAACAACAACAAAAGCCAGGCGTTGTGGCGGGCACCTGGGGTCCCAGCTACTTGGGAGGCCGAGGCAAGGGAATCGCTCGAGCTCAAGAGTTTGAGGTTGCTGTGAGTTGTGACACCATGGCAGTCTAACCAGGGCGACAGCTTGAGACTGTTTCAAAAAAATAAATAAATAAGTAAAATGTTGACTCTAACCTCAGCGAGTTTCCACTGCAGTACAGAAGCGAGATAAAAGTGTCTGGATCATGAGTTTCAAAGGGAAAGGAACTCATTTCTTTCCCTACCGCGTCCTCCTAGCCAGAAGTGATAATAGTTAAGTCCATAGTCACCGCGCAGGAGACACCCCTTGTGACCCGCACATCTGGGGATAAGAAGCCCAGAGAAGCAGCATCAGGTGAAGGCCTTTAGCGCAAACCAAGGGGTAGCAAGCCAATTCTAAAAAACAGAGGGCTCGCACTCCGGTCTTGAAACCACGCTTGTGTCCTCCCCTTGCCTAGGACTGCAGCTGATCCCTCCTCCGCCAGGCTCTGAACTTTGACGCTCAGGTCGGGCAGAGCCCGAAAGACTCATCCACCAACTCGATCGCGGAGGAGTTGGGACCTCCCGGGGTGCAGGATAAAAGGCGCTCACTTCCTGGAGCCGCGAGGCTGGAGACGGGGGAGGGGATGCTGACCTCTGAATCCAGGCCTGACCAATGGTTTGCAGTCACTCCCGGACGGAAAACGTCCAGAGCTGCCTCTCTTACATCTTTTAGCTTAGAATCGGGCTTTAACTCTCACTGCCTTTTGAGCGGCCCATTCCTAGCCGCAAAGGTGCCTCTCCGGTGCTCCTTTCCCAAACTCGAGTCAACTCCAGACGGCAGAGGTCTCCCTCACTGTTCCTCCACCCGAGAACTCCCAACGCAACCTGCTGCGTGGACCAAATTCTCATACTGGTGGGGACGGTGGTGGCTGGCCAGAAAATGGATTTGCCCACTAACCTGGAATCGTGGCCTGGCTGGGCGCCGAGGACTAGCAGCTGCCGCGTCCTCCACCGCGGCCGAAAGACCCTGGGGGAAGGGGCGGGGCTGGGGAGGAGGAGGCGCTGGCGGCGGGGCCCGGGTGTTCCGCGCGCTCCGCCTGGGATCCTGCGGCTTCACGGGTGTGGTCGCCGGTGCTCCATCCGGCCGTAAATGACAGGATATGTTTGGAAGGCTGAAATGCCAAGGTGCTTCTCTTACCTGTGGAACAGCAAATTCCGAGAGGCCTTTGAGAACACCTGAGGGCCAGAGATGACGCGTAAGTTGTCTTCAGTTTTCTGTAGCCTTCCAACATTATTTCCGAGTGTAGGAACGTTGATAATACACCTCTACTTCCTATTAACGAATTAGTTAAAATATATAAATAATACAAACGTCTAAAGTTATACACGTATGAGTAAAGGATGAACACTCGGCATAATGGTTTTACAAAAAATATTAAAGTTTATCAATTTAAAAATACATAGACAAAGTCGGGTGCGGTGGCTCAGGCCTGTAATCCTAGCACTCTGGGAGGCTCAGGTGGGAGGATCACTTGAGCCCAAGAGTTTGAGATTGCTGTGTGCTAGGCTGAGGCCATAGCACTGTAGCCCGGGCAATAGAAAAAAAAAAATTTTAATTAAAAAAATAAAAATACATATATAAGTATATGTATACTAGTATAGATTTTAAAATTATCTATCATTTTAACCTGCATAAAGGAACAAATCTTTCATTGGGCCTATGAATAAATGCAAAGCTTATAGAGCCTAGGAACTGTAACTATAGGGTTTCAATGGCATAGCAACTCTGAGAAGAAAAAGAACATCAAACTTCCCTACTTGTGAGGCTGAGGCAAGAGAATCACTTAAGCCCAAGAGTTGGAGGTTGCTGTGAGCGGTGACACCACTTCACCCTACCCAGGGCCGAAGCTTGAGACTCTGTCTCAAAAAAAAAAAAAAAAAAAGTCAAATTTCCTTCCCTAAGAGTCTGGAAGAGTGTCACCTGATCTTAGAAGGTGGATTAGAAGACTGGTATAGAAGGAGAAATGACTGAGGTGCTCAGATAAAAAGCAGGATAGAGTTGGGATAGTGGAGAAAACTAGGTTAAGCATCATAAGAGTGCATTGAACAGTCCCTGAGGCAAATAGAAGGTCATCAGAATCTCAAAAGAAGAAGTCTAGACAGGTGTCACCATTTCAATGAGAACCCCCATGTTCTTCGGTTAAGAAGTCAAACAGGCTCCGCGCCTGTGGCTCAAGTGGCTAAGGCGCCAGCCACATACACCTAAGGTGGCGGATTCGAATCCAGCCCGGACCCGCCAAATAACAATGACGGCTGCAACCAAAAAAT